AATAATGATTTTGCCGGACCTCGACTCAAGTCATGGCCCAATGCTATCGCATTCAATATCATTAATTCCCGCAATTCTGGCACTTATTTCCCGATACTATAAAGAAAGTGTTGAAAAGAAGAGACTGCTATTAACATTGGATTCGTTGTCAGTTGTAATACAAGCACTTTGTTTGATAAGTTGGGCAATTCTCGCACATTTTGATGGCAATCGTCAAAAAATTTGGGCGCTTCCTTTCGTTTTGCTATTTATGTCAATTGGCTTTTGGGATAATTATCTCATAATTACTAAATGGAAACATTTGAATAAATTCTTGGGATTCTTATGCGAAATCAAAAAAGATCTGAACGGCAGTCGATATTTCACATATCTATGGATATCTGTTTGGAAAATATTCCTAATATTTGGCACAATTCTGATTTATTTTGCTATAATTGACGCACAAAATGATACAGAAGTCACTAAAAGTTTGTTCACAAACTTTAAACAGGCGTTTTCTGAGCACACAATCAATATAAATCGGGTTGAAGTGACTTCAAATCGCGATGAATTGCCACCAATTATGTCAAAACCAGTGACATATTTATGGCTAATAATGATTCAAATCGCGTCAACATTCATGTGTTATGTATTGGCAAAGTTTGTCTGCAAAATACAGATTCAGATCTTTAGTTTCACATTTCCGCTAACAATCGTTAGTCCAATAATTATAGTGTTAATCAATGTTTTGTGTCGTTTGCATCTGCGATACAAAGACGACTGTCGGCTCTCGGAAGCGCTGAGTATGGACTATGTCTTCTGGCACTCGACTCTCGACCTAAACGACGAGTTAAAGTCAATCAATTACGGAGAATCACTCGTCTGGCTCTTCAGCCTATTGTCTCAAATATGGATAACTTTACACATTTGGGAACCGACTTCTGAACGATTGGCCAAAACGGACAAACTGTTCACAAAACCGGAGTATTGTTGCGCTTTCATCGACCAGTCGTTAATTTTGAACCGAAAGATTGAGACCAAAGGCGAAGTGGATGTCAGGAAAATGAGCGCTCAGGACATCCAGAAGATGACAAACTGTTCACAAAACCGGAGTATTGTTGCGCTTTCATCGACCAGTCGTTAATTTTGAACCGAAAGATTGAGACCAAAGGCGAAGTGGATGTCAGGAAAATGAGCGCTCAGGACATCCAGAAGAGGAACGACGAGACGGTTAGGATCTATATGTGCGCCACGATGTGGCACGAGAGCAGCGATGAGATGATACAAATGCTGAAGTCTGTGCTCCGGATGGACATCGATCAGAGCGCCCGACGACAGGCCATGAAGTGGTTTAACGCCAAATCTACCGATTATTACGAAATTGAAAGTAATGTTCAATTTATTATAAAATGTAAATTAATTTTCTTTAATTATAAAAATTTGTTTTATTAGTTCACATACTTTTTGACGACGCGTTCATCGATAGGTTCAGTGAAGTGGGCGGACAGACAACGAAGGAACGGGTGGTCAACAGTTATGTGACACAATTCGCGGAAGTGATCGATAAGGCCGCGAGTCATGTCCACGAGTGCAACATCAGGCTTAAGACACCCGCACTCACGCCCACACCATACGGAGGACAACTCGTTTGGACACTTCCCGGAACTAATAAACTATACGTCCATTTGAAAGACAAGGAACTGATTCGACACAAGAAGCGCTGGAGTCAGGTTTGGCATCAAATTATCATTGCAGACATGAATTACATTAATGATTGTGTGATTAAATGCGACCACAGGTTATGTATATGTATTATCTGTTGGGCTTCAGAATGAAAGACGTGGAGGAAGAAAAACGAGATAAAATAGCAGAAAACACGTTTATTTTAGCCCTCGACGGAGACATCAACTTTAGACCAAAAGCCGTCAGACTTTTATTGGATCTAATGATTAAGCACAAGAATTTGGGCGCCGCCTGCGGGCGCATACATCCCATCGGTGGCGGACCGATGGTCTGGTATCAGGTCTGATATCATTGAATGTGTGAAAGCAAGAATTGAATACAATTTTGTTAAAAATTAATTATCTAGAAATTTGAGTACGCGATCGGCCATTGGCTACAAAAGGCAACCGAACACGCGTTTGGGTGCGTCCTCTGCAGTCCCGGATGTTTCTCACTATTTCGGGCCAAAGCTTTGATGTCCGACAATGTTATGAATAAATACACGTCTAAGGCGTCGGAAGCCGTGCAATACGTACAGTACGATCAGGGAGAGGACCGATGGCTTTGTACTCTTCTCCTCCAACAGGTTTGGTTAGACACTCATTGAAATATGCTTTAAACTAATACCGTGTGTATCCATACGGATGACAATCGATGACAGGGTTGGCGTATTGAATACTGTGCCGCTTCGGACTCGTATACTCACGCGCCCGAAGGGTTCGGCGAGTTTTACATCCAGAGGCGCCGGTGGGCGCCCTCAACAATGTTCAACATTTGGGATCTGTTGGCAGAATCTA